TCTAGCCTCCCCCTAAATTTCCTTTTCTACCCCTCCTAGCATATGCAATTGGTGGTCTAACATACATTTACTTTGTCCAGTCTACTGATCCATGCCAGCTAACTTTCTATTAATATTTTCCTCATTTTTCGGCTTTTATTTCTGCTCTTCCACTGCCCTAATCTTTCAACAGTTAACATAGGCGGCTGTATTATCTTTTGTTTTCTAAATGTGAGCATCTTACTGTCTTAATCTTTCAACACCCTTTGAAGGATCTAGGTTAGCACGTAGATCTAGGCACCATAACCTGGCTTTTGGTTCATCTCACGTTGACAGGTTTGCTTGCCAAAAATGGCCCACGTCTCAATATACTTTCTTTCAAAATGAAAATTCACCTTTATTTTCAAAAGGAAAATGAATCGCTTGACAACATTGCCTTCTGCTCTTATGAGTCATGAATCATGGTTCATYTCACGTTGATATGCTCCCATGTTGATAGAGAACTAAGAAGGAAACCAGACCTTGGAGATATCTTTATTAGGATTTTCCAAACACCATTCTGTTAGCATAAAACCCTTCTATTTGTACTAAAACAAGGAACAAGAAACTAGACTAAAAGTTTAAAGCTTGCTAATTGGGCACACGACCAGTCTAATTGAACTACCCATTGAACACGTGGCATATAGAGGTTATCACAAGGAATCTCTGATATCAATTCCCTCCCTTTTAAAGGGAACTTAGCCTTGAGTACACCCTGATGGCAGCAGATAAATACGCCGTGAAGCCAGAGGCCTTAATTTCACTACTATGTCAATAAACTCCTCTCCTCTCAAGATCTTTGTTTTGAGCTTAATAAAATCTGATGTAGCTTATTTATAGATATCCTAAGATCAACAATCAACCAATATAGGCCATGGGGAACAGGCCTTTATGCTCTATACCCACAAAATTCTYGAGACTATGAAGATCATCAAATTCATATATCAACCCTTTCTTTCAAGAAAATATACAAACTCTCGAAAGAGTGAAATAAGTAAAAGGAAAAGAAAATATAACAGATAACAGATAACAAAATAAACTCAAAGGTTAAGAGATAAACTAAAAGCTCCCCAATTAAAACAGATAAGTGAAGGAGAATAATTTTCAAACAAAGAAGACATGGAACACCACTGTGAAGCCTTAAACTTAGCCAAGCTGAACCGATCAAGTACGGATTTGCAACGGTCCTTGAAGATTCTGAGGTTCCTTTCATACCAAAGCTCATAGAGCAAAGCTTTGACTGCATTTAACCACAACTAACGGCTCTGAGGAGGCAGATTCAGACCAAGAAGTAGCTGAAAAACATTATCCACCGAAATATTGCTAAAGACCCATGATAAGTTGAATTCCTTGAATAACAAAGTCCAACAGTGGAGGGCGAAAGGACATTGGAAAAGTATATGGAGCAAGTTTTCCCCATTAGCTTGACAAAATGCACAAATGGAGGGCTGTAAACAGGAGGCAAAGAGCTTCCTTTGGAAAACATCAGCAGTGTTCAATCTTCCTTTTAAGATAATCCAGACAAATAAGCTAACTTTCTTTGGGCTCTTTGTTTTCCATAATGCCTTATATAAATCATGGTGATTAGAGGTGGATCAGAAGAGGATTTGCAAAGAAATGCCACTGAAAACGTACCCGAAGCCTCCAAAGACCAAAACCAACCATCAGCTGTGTTGTTTGGGGTGTAGGAATTTAAAGCCTCCAACAATTCAATAAATTCCTCAGCTTCCTCATCAAAGGGTCCCAAAACTCAGCAATTGATCCATTGGGTGATGAAGAAACACGGAATAGATTTGGAAATCTATCCTTAAGAGGAGAATCATTAATCCAGCTGTGATGCCAAAATAGAATTCGAGCTCCGGAACCCAATTTAAAGATGGAGAAATGCTCTACCTTCTTCCAATGACGGGAGATGTTGATCCATGGGCACCGTGCGCACCCGTTCTGTTTCTCCTTTGAAAACCAACCGAAATTGCTTAAACCATAGAGACTTTCCACCATTTGATGCCATAAYGCTGAGGGCTCTTGCCCAAAACGCCACCCCCATTTGGCAAGGTGGGCACTGTTCTTATCAGAAAGCCCACCAACTCCAAGCCTCCACCCCCAAATGATCGGAGGCAATGTCCCAGTGAACCAAATGAAGCAATTTACTGCACACTATTACCTTTAAAACACTGTCCCATTAGAGCCTCCATAATCCATGAGCCATGGCTTAGCATGTTATTAAGAATATTATCGATACTCTAGAATTAATTGATTTAAGTAACGGTTGATTTTTCATTTGCCAATGAATTGGATTCTGATTTGGTCAATAATAGGATTCTTAGCTAGAAGAAAGGCACACACCTCAATTTATTATTATTATTATTATTATTTTAATATTTCATAGACAAAAATAAGAAAGTTATCCAAAAACCCTGTTAAACAATCTCTGAAAATATCTCTCATTAAACTTTGGTCTAATCTTAAATTGTCAACAGGTACCATCTGGAAATGCAGTTTCTGTGCAAGGTGCTCATGTGGTGGCAGGCAGATCTGTCCCCCGGCCAATGGCAGGAGTTGGCATGCCAAGGATGCCACCTCAGGGTATGGCTGCTTATGGTCTTGCATCTCAGGCTGGGATKGGTGGCAGTATGAATCCTGGTGGCAGTATGAATCCTGGTGGAATCCCGATGCAGCGAGGTGTTTCTGCCCAAGCTCATCAGCAACAGGTTGATTATTTACGATCCAATTTGATCATTTCTTAAAATTTAGAAATTGTTTTCTACATCTGTAGATTAATCTCACCAACTATAAATGTAGTGATCTAGATAAATCTATAAATATAATTAATGGTCTTTTTTCACCTTGTTTTTTCTTTTTTTTTTCTCCCTTCTCAATATTTCAAATAGTTAAGGAGAAAAGATCCAGGAATGGGAATGCCGGGTTATCCTCAGCAGAAACAACAAAGACGCTACTGAGGTAATAGATCTCAACAATTCTACTTGTTACATACGACCTATAAATTGGGGATCATTGTGGTCCGTACCCTCAAATTGCCAGTACAGTATAAGTTGTGGATGGTTGCTGTTCTTGTTTACTGGAAATATAGTGGAAATGACACGTCATGTTCAACTGTCAACCCTGTGCAAAACAGTCCAAATAAGTTGCCTTCTCTAGTTGTACTTCCTTTGAAAAATAGTAATAGTGGAATCCATGGAGCACAAACATTAGTTAGAAGCTTCAATTTTCCCATGTTGGAGGCGCTCTAGTCTAGACATCTTGACACCCACCCTTATTTGCTTATATGTATTAACATCTTGTAAAGAAATTGTCCGCTTTCTTTTCTTTGGGGTGTCTCCCTCTTGAAATACATGTTATTCCACTTGGATATTTTCTCAACAACTATTTTCCATTTGTTTCTAAAATCGAGCAAGATTTGCGTTGCGTTTCCTCCTGGTGACAATCCAAGTTAGTCCAAAGGCCACTTCTGTTAGTGTCCTATGAAGGACACCTTCAAGTTGGGATCTCTCTCATAGACGGGATGTCAGAAATATTAGGAAGATTTGAACAAAAAGCAAAAATGGGCCAGGTTCTACTCTTTAGGGTGTCTCTCACCTTTTGAAATACGTGTATTCTACTTGGATATCTTCTTAACTACCATTTTCCATTTGTTTCTAAAATTGAGTTAGATTATGTGTTTCCTCCTGATGACAATCCAAGTTAGTCCAAAGGCCACTTCTGATAGATATCCACCTATGAAGGACCTTTAAGCTGGGATCTTTCTCATGAGACGGAATGTCAGTAGGGATACGTAAKGAAACATTAGGAAAATTTGAACAAAAATCAAAATTGAGGAAAATCTCAGTTTCCTTGTTAAAAAAAGCTCCAAAAAGTGTCGAAAACCTTAAAACAAGACAATAATTTTATTTACAACTTAGAGGACGAACATACATGGGCTTAAAAAGGGCCAAAMATGGATGAAGTGAGCAAAACTAACATTCACATTCATCCAGTAGCCTTTTCCAAGTGTTGATTTTGCCAAGGTTTGTATGTTCTTATGAATTTATCATGTTTTACTCCTTTCTCCATGAATTTCGCTTAAACTTTAGCAATAAGGTGATGAACTAAAATTTTACAGTCATCAGACTTGCTTTTATCCTATAAAGGTGCTAAATTTTCTTTTCTGAGATCTGGTTTCTTGCAGTGGTATCAGGAAGACCTGAGATTACTTGTAGGCAGAAGCCAAAAATTTGTCTGTGCACGTCTTACAAAGCTGAGGGGATTGCTTGTTGACTTATTTGCAAGCTGAGGTGTACCAACTCGGTCGGGAATTCAACTACCAAACACGTTTCTTGACACAGAATTGACTGATGTTAATGTGGCATCTCAGATTGCATGAATTGCTTCACATGCATCAGTTTTCTTGATATAGGTAACCTGGCCAGGAGAAACTAGGTCCTCTTGTATTATAATACTCCAAAGTAGTAAAATGGCATTAATTTGGTCGACACGAAACCCGTTTTGTGTAATTTATGTACAAGGTTAGAGAAGTGGGGAAAGGAAAAAGGATATAGGATTATTGAACCCTCCCACCCCCACCCCAAAGAGTAGATCAGTCCTTCAATAGCAATATTTGGACCTTTTCTGAGGTTTTCTTATTAGTTACTGTAAAAGAAAATTCATCTGTTCTGTGCAGTTCATTAATAACTTGCAGTTCCAGTATTTTATTGGTCACAGAATGATTACGTTTTTCTATTTTGAATAAAATTGTTAGTTACAAGATTTTTTATTGTTTTGCTTATTATGTTTATATAATCTTCAAAACTAGGCAACTCTTTGATGATTAGTTTTCATTTACATTTTTGGAAATAAATAAAGTGGTAAGAATGACTTTCTTTTTTAGTTAAGATTTGGTGTTAAGAGTAGGAGTATACCTTTACCTTTTAAGGTTTGACAGATGAAATCTTGTTTATTCACTATAGATTGATCTTTACATTTGTATTGTATTGTATTTTTCTTTAACGAGAAACGACTTTTCATTATTAATGAAAATGGAGAAAAATGTTAAAGGATACAAATTCTGGAGAAGGAAAAATTAAACACCCAAATGAATAACAAATTTCCAAGAGAATAAAATATTAAAGAGCAAAATGTCTAATTATCTAAGGCAATTGAAACAACCAAAACCACTTCTATTTGCAAAAGCTACATATGTATATTGAACAGGAGAAGCCTTTGGTACACCGATTGGAGAATACCCAAACAATGGAATCATCCACCCTAAACTATGTAGAGATTAAGCTTAATCTTAGAGAGAATAAGATAATTCTATTATCATTTATAGAAATTCTATTATCATTTACAGGAGATAAATATACAAGGTTGACCTAAATAAATAATGTAAAACAACGATAAAGTATAAAATAATAAAGACTATTACAATAATATAAAATATAAGAATTTAAGTATTCTAACACTCCCCTCAAGTTGGAGCATATATGTTAATCATGTCCAATTTGTTATAGAGATAATCTATTCATGCTCCATTTAATGCTTTAGTGAAGATATCTCCTAACTGCTCTTCAGTYTTCGTATATCCTGTAGATATTAATCCTTGCCTTTTCTCACATGCATAATGACAATTAACTTCAATGTGTTTAGTYYGTTCATGAAAAATCATATTTAGATGCAATATAGAGAGTTGCTTGATTATCACACCACAGTTTGGTTGGAGTGGTGATATCAAATCTCAATTCAATCAGAAGTTGCTATATCCACACTAATTCACACACCGATTGTGTTATTGCTCTATATTCTGTTTAGCACTTGAACGTGACATCCCATTTTGTTTCTTACTCTTCCAAGAAATAAGATTACCTCCAATAAATACACGATCTCATAAGGTTGATCTTCTATCTTCCTTAGACCCAGCCCAATGAACATCTAAAAAACATTCAATATTAAGTTGACCATGATCTTTTTATAATAAACCATGTCTAGGAGCACCTTTCAAATAACAAAAAATATGTTCCAATATGACACAATAGTCAACCATAGGAGAACTCATATACTGACTCATGATACTTACTAGGTAAGCTATGTCTACCCTAGTCACTGTAAGATAATTTAACTTTCCTACTAACCTCCTATACCTCTCAGGATCTTGTAGCAACTCCCATTCTTTTGTAAGTTGTAAATTAGGCATCATCGGGGTACGATGAGGCTTAGCACCTAACTCTCATGTCTCAGTTAACRAGTCAAGTACATATTTTCTCTATGATAAAAGAATTTCATTCTTACTTCTCATTACCTCCATTCCCAATAAGTAYTTCAACATTCCCAAATCTTTAGTGTTTGGAATTGACTATGAAAAAAAGTCTTGAGAGATAGGATGCTTAATGTATCATTCATTACCAATAATAACAATATCATCAACGTATACAACTAGTAAGAAGACACCAGCTTCAAATAAAGATAAAATGATCTGACTTATTCTTCTTCATTCCAAAGTCCTCAATCACCTAACTGAATTTTCCAAACCATGCTTGCGAACTCYGTTTTAACCCATACAAGGATTTAAGAATGTGACATAACTTTCATTCTCCCCTTGAGCAACAAAAGTCGGTGGTTGCTCCATATGCTTCTTCTTGAAAATCATTATGTAGGAATGCATTTTTAATATCAAGCTGATGCAAGAGCCAACAGTAGATGGATGCCAACGAAATAAATAACCCGACAGAAGTCAATTTAACGAATGGAGAAAAAGTAYCAAAATAATCAACTCTATAAGTTTGTGCATAGCCTTTAGCAACAATACGAGCTTTCMATCGGGTGACAGATTCATCAGGATTAACTTTAATAGCAATCACCCATTTACAACCGATAGACTTCTTTCCTATGGGAACAGAAATTAAATTTCAAGTACCATTGTATCTAAGACAATCATGTCTTCCAACATAGCAGCACGCCAGAATCAGACAAGACTTCATGGACAGTGAACAGATAAAGACTCAAGAGATGCAATGAACGGACAAGTAGGAAAAGACAAATGATTATATGACACAAAAGATAAACAAGTGCATTTGCGTTTACCTTTACGAAGAGTAATARGAAGATCATCGCTTGTTCTTGGATCCAATAATGAAGAAGCTGCTGGTATATGGTATGTGACCGAAGGAGGTTGTTGTCGAGAATAGACTTGAGTCATATGAGGGAGAGGAGGATTAGACAGAGATGGTGGTGTTACTAGAGGGCACTTCCGTATAAGAAGAGACAATGGAATAAACAAGCAAATCATCATTTCCACTTGATGCTTCCCCCGACTATTACTTCACGATGATGAAAAAGAAGTATCTTCTTAGAAAGTAACGTTAGGATATATAAGATATCTATTTAGATTAGGGCAATAACACCGATACCCTTTTTTAACACGRGAATAACCAAGGAAAATGCATTTCAAGACTTGGGGTCTAATTTTGTGAGTTGGGAGCGAACATTCTGAATGAAGTAAGTACAACCAAATATTTTAGGTTTAATAGAAAATAAAGACTATGGAACATAAAATACGACAAGGTATCTCACCCTTAAAAATTGATGAAGGCATGCGATTAATTAAGAAACAAGTCGTCGAAACAGAATCAACCAAAACGTTAAGGCCCTTGCTATCTCAAGGAGATGTCTATTTTTTCGTTATGCAACTCCATTTTGAGTCGGAGTATCAACACAAAAGGATTGATGAAGAATACCATGTTTACCTAAATAGGAGCCAAAAATACTAGATAAGTATTCTTTAACATTATCACTTCGTAGAACTTTAAGAGATCCACCAAATTAAGTACGAATCTCAGCATGAAAGTTACGAAAATGAGAAAGTAACTCATAACGATATTTCGTTAAATATAACTAAGTTACACGAGAAGAATCATCGACAAAAGTAACAAAATACTGAAATCCAGTTTTAGACTCAATAGAACAAGGATCCCAGACATCATAATGAACTAACTCAAAAAGAGCACTAGCTCGTTTATTGACTCCAGGATATGAACCAAGACAATAAAACTTAACAAATTGAAATGACTCAAAATCTAAAGAATGAAAATTATAAAATTAAGGACGAAGATTCTTCAACCCAGAGAGAGATGGATGGCCCAAACGACAATGTTCTTCTAAAGGATATGGCACTTTAGTGCATACGATGGCTGTAGAGATTTGTGTATYAAATGTGTCAAGACCGTCGAATTCACACCCTTTACCAATAGTCCTTTTCGTCATAAGATCCTGTCATATAATTTGTAGCACCAGAGTTAATGACTCATTTACTTGTGTTACCTAACTATGCGATAACATTAACTGGATTAAAGGATGATGCTATCAATGATTCTTGATATTGTTGGAACTTAACAAACCCTTTTGGAGAAATCGTAATTAACTTGTTGGCATCATCAGAAGTAGATACAACATGTGCAAACTGAGTTCAGACTTTCTACATTCTCACTTTGTATGCTGAACTTATGACAATAATTTCACACAATGATATATTTTGAATTGGATTTTTGAGTACTAAAATTCCATAATTGGGTGTTTGAACTCGTAGAATTCTCTTTTGTGGTTGTTACTTCGGTACACATTTGTACGTTCGACTAAAGCACTGCTAGATTAGGAATAACAGGACAGGTTTGTGACTTCTCAATGCGAAGTACTCTAGTATATTCCTCCTCTAAAGATGAGATTTTAAAACCAGAGAGTAATTGGTTTTTAGCCACATCAAATCTTGGTGGAAAACCAACAAARAAAACTCATAATTGCTAGTTGTTCACATTGGGCAAGTTGCACTTCTACATCAGGAATAAATAGAAGCAATGCATTAAACTCGCCAAACCCAGGTTGTTGGAAGCCGTTGCATATTTCAAATGTTCGATTGATGTTTCCTTTTCCAGAATAAAGGAATTCCAAGTATTTAAGTAATTCTTGAACAAAATCACAGTGATTAACCATGCTAATAATCTTACTCTCAATCGAATTATTGATTTGTAGAATGATTCTTGAATCGTTCGACAACTAGCTCTCTTGTTCTCATCAGTAGGTAGATCTTCAGTTATGTGGTTGTCCATATCAATGCTGCATAGAAAATGATGAAGGCTGGTTTCCAACGTGTAGTAGTTGGATTCGTTTAACTTATRTTTTGTTATTTTGATATCGTCGAGATTATCTCAAACGTGACCATTAATTTTTTCTCAACCATAATGTCAAGAATATGAACACAGAAAAAAAAACTGCACAGAGTCAGACTAAACCAAATCTAGAAGAAAAGAAAAATCAAACCAGAGGACTGAACTGGTTGAACCATACCAAATTAATCAAACTTTTCTGAAGAAATCCTAGCAGCGAAGCTTGTCAACTACGATCTCACGACAGCGGCGACGAATTCCAAACAAAGCAAGGATTTGCACGACGAAGAGTAACCCATGATGCACGTTGGCGAACCACAAACCGAAGCGGCCGTGGCGAAGCAGCGACAACGGGGGGACGGCGTTGCAGCAAGGAACGACTGCAATGGTAAATCACAAACAGAGAACAAAAAGCCACGGCTCAAGAACCACGAATAGAGACCCACGTCTTGCGACTTAGGCAATAATGACAACAACATTGGCGGCAGTGGGCAGTGGTGGTGGTTCCAATGAAAAAAAGGAAAAATAAAAACCCAAGGTTTCGAACTTCAAAACTCTAACGTTC